GAGTATGCTGTTGTTGTGGCTGCTGTTGGCCGGATGGAAGTGAAAGAGGCAAAGGAGGCAATGGTGGTGGCAAAATGGGCTGATGCAAGCCAAAAGAATCGGAAATCTCCTCGAGACGACCAGTCGCAGAATGAAGGATGGCCTGCGTCTTGCCAGACTTGCTGGTCAGAACAGGAGGTCCGGGGCGATTCTTCTGGCCTGTCACCGACAACGGTCCTTGTTGCTGTCTAGCCTCCCGAGAAGAACCGAGGTAGTCAAGGCATGGGGTTGGCTTGGGACCCGTTGGTGATGACCAGGGTTGAGACGTAGGTTGGCGCGATTGGTGCGTCTGCGAATGCAGCCCAATCGGTTGCTGATAGAATTGTGGGTGTTGAGTGTGAACGGCCGAGTGCTGGTGGTGGAGAGGAGAGACTGGCTGTAGGCCAGAGCTCGAGCCAACTTGAAGACACCACTGTTGGTGATCAGGATGAAAGAGGCGAATGGCGAGTCCACTGCGAGCGTATTCTGCAGCTGCTTCGTTGGCCAATTGGCTGGTGAAGACGAGTCGAGGTCGTTGTTGCCGTCTGCGTCGATCAGCTGGCTCACAGCTGACGTCTCCACCGGCGTTGGCAGGACTAGAAACGGGCACAGTCGACAGGCCAAGTGGAGAAGAGGTTGGCCCGTGCATCTGGTCTCCGGGGGGACCTTTGAGCCCAGGACTGTGGACCACAGAAGAGGCCAATGGTCCTAGTCCTGAGCCGGGAGCCGATGTCGATGGGGTTGGGGACATGATATTGATGCCGGCAGTACCGGAAGAGGCAATAATGGCGGCAGATGAAGTGGAAGTAACGGATGCAAACGAGCATACAGACGTACTAGAGGCGGAATTGGGCGAGGTTCCCATCGGAGGTGTCGTCGTCGTCATAGTAGGAGTGCCGGCTGAAACCCCAGAGACAGACCGAGTGGACGCGGTGAGTGGGGAGACTGCAGACGGTGAGAAGGCGACCTGAACGCCGCCGGAGACCATGGGACTGCCTAGGTTCGAACCATCAAGGCCTGCCGATAGAAAAGTAATCAAAATAGGTGAAGTTTGGATAGAAAATAAAGAATACGAGGCTCTCAAATTAGTAAAAAAACTCAGGAGCGCCTACGAATGCCTATGCTTGCATTGATCAGAATTAGTTTGGCCGACCCACAATTCTCAGGTCAAGATGTTAATTTTCCGTATCACAGGCTTCTCGTTAAGATGTCACATTCAATTTAAAAAGAACTCTGTGAAATAGTCTGTCAGTCGTAGACTTAGTTCAAATGACTACAATAAGTGGCTGGGTAGTGTTAATTAGGCTGTAGCAGAAGTCCTATCGTGAAAAATTATATGCATATTATTGCTTATTAATTAAATCCGTTTCATAAGTATGGCAGAATTTTCATCTTTATGCTGTACCTCTGCTTGACAGTTCCAACGAAGGCTCTCTCCTCCAAACAGGGAGCAACAAAAGATGAACAACAAAGCGGCAATTAACAAAAATATTGACATCTGAAGTCGTAAAGGCGAGCAACGGCACCAGAGAAAAAAATTAAAGGTTAAATAACTTTGCATAGCAATCGAAGAGCCAAGACAACTAACTGACGAGTCGACTACACGTCTCAGCATATCCACTTGTTTTGTGGTCTGTCTGCCTACATGTATCTCCCGGTGGCTCTATGAATATCTGCTAATCCCTGTCTGTCTGTCCGTCTGTTAGTTTGTATGAATGTATGTATGTCTGTCTACCTGCCTGCAAGATACCAGACATATAGGCCTGCTTATATTCTATCCTGTCAGTCTGTATGTATGTATGCATATGTAGACTTGTATGTATGTATGTATATGTATGCATGCATACATACATATCAGTTGACTGTCGGCCCGGTCGCCTAGTCCTGGTAGGCCTTGAAGCCCACGAATACACAGTCTACCTAATTCTCGGAAGAGATCATTGATTAAATGTGCATAAACTAGTTCGCCCATCCGACGTGTGGTCTGCACGTCTGGCAGTGTGAGGCTGTGACCGGCTCTCGGTGTTGGGATGGGGCTAGAGCTTGCCTGGGCAGACAGAGTGGACTCGTGTGTACGAACACATCTATAAAACATGCACACATCGGGGAACAGGTGGAAAAAGATTAAATGATGTGACTCGTGAATAAGCCGTACAAAGAAAGAGAAAAAGAATGAGAGAGAGAGAGAGAGTGTGTGTGTGTGTGGCACAAAGGTCATCGTTTGGTGAGAGAGAAATGCAAACGCAAAGTGGAAAATGAAAATACATCTCCAGTCTGTAGGGATAAAAACAATACAGTCCAAGCAGGAAGTAAAGTGGCTCAAGAAGCAGAGGTCGCAAGTCAAAACACAATTCAAATTGTGCTCCATTTCAATGAGACTGTGATTACGTCTCACCAGTATGGGTATAGAGGCAGGGCGAACAAGGAATAGTGGGATAATGAGGAAAGGGAAGAAGAAGCGGATTAAAAGAGCAATGGCAAGTCGGGTTGTGTAAAAGAGTGAAGGAAAAGAAAAACTGTATAGAGTTATGCAATTAACATAATTAGGCAATTTGAGATAATGTGAGCTAAAATAATCAGATAGAACAGTGTAATGAAGGGAGTTAATTGGGCGAACGAAAGGAGAAATGGGGATTATTTTTTATTAGGCTCCATGCAGTCTCGATCGTGTTTTTGCTCATGGCATTGATGTGGCTTGATGATAGCTCCGAGACTAATGAGAGCCTTGCTGCGTTCATATTAGAAGCGAATAACGACATGCCTTATAAGTGCATAAAGTATGTATCACCAAATTATGATGGTCAAACTATTTATGCAAAGTTATATGCGTTCAACCGCCTACGTATCTGCCGCTCTGTCGAGCTAAACACAAAAAGTATCCAATAAAACGACTTTCAGACGGCCTAATTATACTCACCTCAGGATGTTAAAGGGAGAATAAAAAATGATGATAATGTGAGCTCAAAGTCGAAAAATTCAACATAAGGAAATGGTTGAGAGTGACTTCTGGGTAAGGCGGATCTTAGATTTCACGTCCATAACAGATAATACACAGAAAGAAGTTACAACCAATTAGAGACGATCTATTTGATCCCTTAGAGAAAGACTCTCGAGCACACTAATCCCTACTGATTGAATCAAATGGACGTATGTGAATGCGAGAATAGACATGCAAAAAAATTATAATTAAAATAATTTAGGTGCATATAATGGGGGGCAATGATAATGAAGACAATGAAAAACAAAACAAACCAGATTCACAAGATAAAGATGTAATGAATAAATGAGTTAACTTTTAGGTTGTCATTTGAGTGGAAAAGGATATCGCTCTAGGCATTGCTCAACCAAGAATTAGATCAACGCAGAGCAGAACTTTACCCGCTCAAGAAATAAAATGATAATGAGGTAGTCGATGAAATCCAAATCCAAGGCACCTAGTGAGTAACCAGTCTACAATAAATTTGACAAAAGATGCCTATCCTACGAAATTACGCAGTTAAATGTGGCACAAAAAATATTTCCCTTTTTCGTTTTTGATTAGGTTTTCGAGTATTTCCCTTTTCAAAGTAAGCCCAAATAGCATAGCTCAATAAAATACTCAAGTTTATATAAAGAGTTCATGCATTATTTCGGGATGAATCAAATCTAAAATGCGATTGAAAAGGGAGTAATATCTGGACTAAAACTCGCATGCGCAAGAAACATGCGGTATGATGAGTACTGCATCTGCTTAGGATATGAATATATTCCGGAGATTAGAGCTTCCATCCACTCTGATTAATAATTCAACTCGATGTTAAATTCTACAAAATACGCAAAA